CTAGATTTGAGAGAGAAGTACCAAAGGTGAAGAGGATGCTCTCAGTCCCTCCCTCCACACACACGGTCGGTCTCTTCTGCACCTTCACAGTCTCAGAATTCACTTCAAAAGGAAAAAAGAACCTCTCGCTGAACTGCAAAGAAAGCGCATCCTGTTTTATTGTAGGAAGAAGGAAAGGCCTTGAGTAACTCATTTTCCTGGCACTCCGTGTTCAGAGACTGAGGCAAAGAACAGAAACTACATTTGTATCAGGATTTTTGCTTTTCTTAGGAGCCAGCCTCCAGAGTCTGTCCTGGACTAGGCTCTGCGATCACACTTCTACGCGCCTATAGATCATAATTCCTCTCTCTGCTAACACCACGCTGACGCTACAAAGTCCTGAATGGTCAATAGAAAGACAACAGCATATGCACCTGGATAAACTCACTAAAGCAAGATGCAGTCAAAGCAGGGTCGTCATTTATTACATCTTAGAAACACTTTCATCAACAACAGGTGAAACAAATTTTTTTTTAAGATTTAGGATTAAATAAACTTCATTTCCCGGATTGGAGCACTCCATTTTTAAGCATTCTAATCAGTCAAGTACTACTTAACACACAAACTCTACAACTTTCTTTTTGAGCAAAATACAGGAGTCCCCCACTATCCAAAAGCAGGCCACTCCTATGAAACTTTTGGTAAACAGCAAAGAGTTTCCCCACTTCATGTTACAGCAGGCACTTTACTTTTACAAAACACCTACAATAGTACGGTAATTACTTTTTCATAAAGATGAAAATCTTCTTCGGATTTCTTTTGGTTAGCAAAAAATATAGGTCTTTTGTAAAAGCCAAGCGGCAGTAATGTGAACTTTCAGAAAGCAGGGGATATCTGTAAGTGGATTTTCCAGTTCGAATAGAGATGATTTCAACTTTTCTATAACACATGCCTGGAAAAAGTGTTTGAAGGGCGTATGTCCAAAACATAACAGTAGTCTCATGAATTCTTAGAAGGTGATTATCTAACAAAGATATTTCTCTCTCTCTCCAACTATCTCCCATGATGGTTCACGGAGGCACTGTCTGTCTCCCTCAGGCCCGAGCCACCCACAGGGCTCCTAGCCGAGGCTGGTGCCCGTGCAAGTTCCTGAAGGTTAAGGTTTTTTTTTTCTTTTAGCATCACAGAAAATCTGCCTCTGGGTGTCAGTAAAAAGAAAATGATGCAATTTTCCAGTAAAACTTACTAAATTTGTTGACCCTGATTAGTGTATGAATCAATTACTTAGTTTCCAATAGCTCCCACGGGATCCCTGACTGATAACCTAAGCAAATGATGACACCCATGTGTTTCAAGATCAAAGGACTAGCGTTCCAGAGGCTAATTCAGGAGAGATCAGACCAGTGTAAAGAAACGTATAAAATAAAAAAACGGAACTGGTGCCATCCCCCTGGTTTTCAGAAGTCCATTTTCAACATGCTCCTGTTTTTCATTAAAATCCCTCAACACAACCTCCATCCAAATTCAATTTCATCTTTGTTTGAAACATTTCTCATTACCCTAAAAAGCAGAGACTTGAGATGACAACCTTGATAGAAATCTGGGACATGAGTGCTTTTAAGAGTCCACCAAATCTAGGAAGATGGGATCTTAGACACTAATTATAATAATAAACTAGAAAGCCCGCAGTGTTAGCATTTTGGGAAGTAACATTTAATACGTAATTTCTATAGTAAAATACGGAAAGGTTTAGAAATAAAACAACCAGTAGGTCATTTTCCCCCTCACTCGAAAATAAATTTAAAACAACCTGTTTCAGTTTATTAGCCAGAGATCCTGAGGCAAGTGAGTCAGAATGAGCCACTTCTGAAAGTGAAATAAATTCTGACAGCACTACCCTGAACTCTGCAGGCAGGAAGCTGTGCCAACTGCCATGCCAGAACTATGAGATAATGGGTATTTCAAAATGTTCGTCCCATCTCAAAGCCCAGCCATCCGTCTCACACTAGCATCCCGGCATCCCAGAATGAAGCCAAAACGAATTAACGAACTCCACTGCCAGAGAAACATCTCAGCACTTAACTGCACAGTCTGTTAGGTAAGGAATCTGGAGACCCACGTCGTATTACTTTCGTTTCTCCTGGCTCCTAACTAATTTTTATTGATGCAGTTCAAAATAACTACAGGACCCACAAGACCATGGTGTGCCCACTCAAAGGAGAAGATGCCCTTGAAGCAAAGAGCCTTTGTCAAAACTGGGGAGAAGAGAGCTGGCAGCAGACAGCCATTTAGAAGGTGTTTTCGGGCGACTTTTAATTCTTAAAAGGCTTTATGTTTAAAGAAACAGTAAACTCCTTACTAAATATACCTCATTTCTAAACATGTTACTCTGAAATTTTATTGATCAAAGTTGGGGAGGCTGCCAAAAGGAGGAGAGTGTTTTAATTAAATTGGGAACATTTCCAGGAAGAAAAGTGTGAGGCTTAAATGAACTCTCTTTAATTAGAACAAAGCCAAGGAAACAAATATCCTGGGATTAGGCGGTGAGTGGTGGGTTTATACTAATTCAGCCTCCAGGTGCCTGTGACACCGTGATAAGACAGAAGGGCGCTTCCTCTGAGAAGTTGTCGCAGACTCAAGAGATGTACTGTACAGAGAGATGCACATGGACGTACAGGAGTGAGTGTGCGTATGTACAGTCCTTTCTAAAGAAAGTACATTGGTGGGGGGAGTGTTGGAAGTTTGTCCAAATTAATGTGCCCACTCAAAACTGCTACAGGGAAGGGTACGGATTTGCCAAAGTCTTGATCACACAGCCTATCAGAGCCAAACCACTTCTACCCTCCGCAGGAAGCTGGCTTTACGGGGTCTGGAGAAATAATCCACCGTTTCTCGCAACAAGTCACCTCCCTCCCAGACGCCCCCTGTTTGCGGACTGGGGAGAGAGCCCCAGGACTGGCCGTCTCGCATCCGAGCAGCGAAGCTCAGACACCCGCTGGCGGGTCCCGCTTGCCGCCTCGCTCGCCACCGCCCGCAGCTGCCGCTACGCCCCCCGCCCTCAACCG